TTTGGCAAAGCTTTATTGTAAGCCTTACTAACAATATTCACAAATTATATGCTAACAAGATTTTCTGTGTGATAAATGATGAGAATTATGGTAAAAGGCTAAATTAATAACTTATTTTAAGGAATAAGGACTGAAGGTATAACTTTCTGAATTATAGTTTACTATAAACCTAATATTGACTGATAGTTGCCAATTTTTACATTAAATTTGTGTGCAAAAGGAAGTTAAACTTTTATGATTTAGAAGGAACAGTATTTTCTCAAATGAGGGCAACTTGGATGACATAAATTTCTTAAAGTAATTTCTATGCAAACTTAAACTACCATTTTAATTACCTGCATCATTTTTGTGTGAAAGTGCACCTTGGTTGTGATTGTAATTTATATTTTATATTTTACAAGTGCAGGTAGAAAGAGACACCTTGTACTTTCAAACTTGCAATATCTAAAACAAAGTGCTCATAGAAGGGCAAAAAAAATACAAATAAAAAGGAGTGCTGCCCTGAATACCTAGTTGGTATACCCTTAACTGTGCTAATCTAATTCAAAATTGAAGCTCACTAGTAAGGATAGTGTGAAAATCTGTTTATGTATAATTAACATTTAGCAATCTCTTAATTGTTTGTGAAACTGCCTTCATTGACAACAAATCTAGCATTTTACATTCTAACTGAAGTGGTTGAAAATTTGATGTCAAATAATAAGCTAAATGAATCATTCATTGTGGAGTTTCATTCAGAGCAAGTGTGATAAATGGATAATTGTTATTTATCACTTCTAATGTTATTTTTTTAAACTATATAAGTTCGAAAATATAAACAAATATGTTCATGGTAATTAATAAGCCCTTTGTTTAATTCCTTGGTGTTTTATCTAAGCTAACAATACACTTAGATACATCAAAAAGAAATTTTTAATTTGTATCTTGTTAAAAGGCATTAAGCATGTTTTTAATACATGCTGCAATACTCAATTAGATTTGATGTCACACTTTTTCCTTGTCATGCTATTTATACAATAAAAACCTCAATTGTATTACACTTTTGAATTGTATAATTGTATACAACATTGAGAAAGAAGGTTGACATAAAGTCTCAGAAGAGTAGCACAGGAATGAAGTAGTACAAAATTAATTGTTATCATCATTAAGATTTAATCAAACATTAAAATACTGGACAATTTATACTTTATCGATTGTTAATTTTATATTACTCTATCACTGTCGTAAGAAACACCGGATTATTCAAAGATCCATCTTTCTATGTGAATGTGAATTACGATATTATTGTAACACTTTACTATTTTGTGGTTTTTCGACACTTCGACGAAGCTATTTTGGTTAGCACCGAAAAAGCGCGGCATATAGCTAAAATAATCGATAAATCACTCGATTCGTGATGCAATAGGAACAGAAAACTACGCGTAGGTAAGGTGGCCACGAAAGTTAGTCCGCTAAATTTTCGATAGTTCCTTTTACCTGTCTATTACGACGTGACGTGAGTGTAATTATTTCGATTGTGCGCACTTGCGGTATTTCTAAAACTTATCTAATACAACTATCACGTATCGTAAAAAAGGCAAATTCGTCGTCTAACCTTATCGCGTTCTGTGCGTGACGATTTTCGAAAACGACATAACGAGGAGACGATTCGATTTATATGACAAAAGAAAGCAAAAAATATGACGATCGGTTGACCGATAGTTAAATTGTTTGTCTTCTTTCGAAAAAGTCTTTAAGAAATTTTCAATCGCAAATCGATACGCATATTTATATTATAACCTTTCCAATTTAGATAT